CTAGTTATTGTTTATGCTCTCAACATTGATAGTCCTAATTTCTTTTGATGTTTTAGATTCTAATGTGATAATGATTCGTTAATTGTTTTGTTGTGACTTCAAAATTGTTCAGAATCCAGACTTAGATTATCATTATAAATCAAATGTTCATAATAGTAAGGCTAGAAAATTTTTATTATAGGCTATTGAAGACAAAAACCTAAAAGACCCATTAAAAGAATTACATGGTGATGCCAAAATATACAAGGATGTATCTGTTTTAGATTTTGAAATTCAAATCCAGAATTATAGTATCATTCCATCGACCTTCCATCCTAAATCCGATGCATCGGCCAACTTAATCATCTTCTATCGATGCTGAAGCAACGATTTTGCTGAAAATATGCCAAACAAGCGTGACAAAACAATATAGATTGTTTTACCTATTAACTCGAGACTTATCACCCGTATACTATATCATATCAATATACATGTATTTGGATATGATATCATTCATTTGAACGGTTTTTTTTTTTTTTTTTTTTTTTTTTTTTTTTTTTTTTTTTTTTGTTGTTTACTTTCTACGTGCGGCTAACAAAACCAGCACATTCATAACAAACGGGGCAGTGCACAGACGGTTGACCGTTATAAAATAACACACATTCCACGTGCGTAACATAAAATAAACTTTAGTCTAGACGTTTACAATATTGTGATAAAAATAGAAAAAAACACTGATAAATTGTACAATAGCATAACGTACCGCTAATAATCCTTTCCCTTGTTTCTTCCATGCTTTCAACTGAAAGCAAGCCTTCAGCGTCCTCAAGCTTGCTCAAAACGTACGCATTGACCTTGAATTGCTCTTCGTTGATTTTACGTCGAAATTTGACTGTTGTCAGCGAAGAAGAGGCAATTTGACTGGAAAGATTGCTCTGAGATGTCGCTGTTATTTTAAGAAACATGCCTTTCATCTCCTTCAGCACTTGCTGCTTATGCTGAACCAACAAATCTGTGACCTTCTCCTGCATAAAACATTCACTCATTTCCCTCGACATGGTAAACATTTGACTTAGAAAAAAGATAATGGCTGTTCTCTGTGAGATACTCGATAGGAACTAATTACTTGTCACGCCCTGTGACTATATATACACCGACGCAGTCAAACAAAAAACTGATCAGCCTTGTTTTATGAACACGGTAAGGACAAGACAACAATTATCCGCTATACGTGGTAACGCGGATTATTTGAAAGTCTCTTTTACATTAAAAAATATGAAAAATGATAAAAGTTCTGCATGCGATGGATTGACAATGAACTTTGTAAGACCTTTGAAAATGGAATTGGACATTTTATTGTAAAAGCTATTAATTATGTATAAAATGTTAATTCATTTTCTAGGAATAAATCAGAAATATGCAACATGTATTTCAAACGAAAACAGGCCAATGCTCCCCGAGAATGTTTTTGACACAGGAAAGGATAAAATATGAACAAATGAAAAAAGCTCCAAAAAAAAGGCACTGGGGATTTATGTTTTTTTGCACTGGACTACTATTCAATGACATACATCTATCTATAAAGTTTCGTGATGATATCTCTTATAGTTTCAGAGTTATGTGACGGGAAAAATTCAAAGAGTAAAAATGAACTGCAGGGCAATAACTTCAAAATTAGACAAGGCTGTGTTTAGGTTCTTTCGCACTGCAGTTTTATCCAACAAGTTATATATACTAACAAAGTTTCATGCTGATATGTCTAATAGTTTTTGGGTTATGTCCAGGATTAAAGGGTAATAACTTTTATAAAACGCAAAGCATAGTTATTGTTCTTTAGCACTGCACTTTTGCCAAATGAGACTTATCTACCTACAAAGTTTCATGTTGAGTTATGTCCCTGACACATTTCAAAGTGTAAAATAAACAAAGGGCAAAAATTAAAAAGATAGGCATTACAGAGTTACGATTTTGCACACTGTAAACCTACTTCATAAGATCTATCTATCTGCAAAGTTTTATGGTGATAACTCTTATAGTTTAAGAGTTATGTCCCGGAAAAAGTTCAAAAGTTAAAAATAAACAAAGGAAAATAATTGAAAACAGAAACAGAGTTACGGTTCTTGTGCAATTCACAATGAGCTCTATCTACATACAATGTTTCATGTTGATACCTCTATAGTTATAGAATTATGTCAATAAGAAATAGACAAAGGGCAGTAATTCAGAAATAAGGCAAGGCATATTTACGGTTCTTGTGCACACCTATTTAATGACATTTATCTACCTACAAAGTTTAATGTTGATACCTCATGTTGTTTCAAATGTATGTCCCGGACAGGAAAAGCGGACGGAAGGACGGACGGACAGAGCGGCAACTTACGCTCACCCTTCTGGGAGAATAACAAAAGGAGACTAAATACCTAAGTATATGTAGTATATAAATAAGCTTCAGTTCAATGTATTTAAGTGTCAAAAGATCGATTTTAAACTGGATTTGTTAAGGTATATTGGTGAGAATACTACATTATTATATGATATAATGAAATATACTGAAAATAATAATATGCCAGGGTGATTAATGATGATTGATTTTGAAAAACTTTTGATACTCTATCTTTAAGATTTATTAAGAAATGTCTCTATGACTTTGTTTTGGTCCTATGTAAAGGAGATGTATATTTCTGTTTCAATACAATATTGAAACTTGTGTCATATTAAATGATATTTTTATCCAATTTCTTTAGAGTAAGAAAGCAATCTAATCTCACTGTATATTTTCATTTTGTTCGCAGAGATATGAGCAGTTAGAATAAGACAATGAAATGATGCTAAAGGCATAATTATAGATGGGGAAGTATAAAATTCCTTAATTTCAGGTGATACATCACTTCTATTAGATGATTTAGAAAAACCCTAAATACTATTTATTAAAAAAGTTTACAGATATTTCTGGATAAAAGATAAATTTTGACAAAAATAATGTTATTTGGATAGGTTCTCTCACAGTTCAAATTGTTAGGTTTAATATTAGATGTTGAAGATTTAAAAGAGATGGTTGACTTAAATTTTAATGAAAAACTTCAAAATTGTAAAAATAATATTAGTCACATGAAAAAAGAATATTAACTCCAATAAGAAAAAATGCTGATATTAACTCAATATTGCTTCCTTTCTATACGCGTAAATTCTAAATGACCTTATTAATGATTCTATATGGTAGGCAAGGTTAAAAGAAAAGCAATAATTACTTATTGAAACATAAAAAGAAGGTGCTTTAAACATGGTTGATATTTATAGTTATATACATTATTAAAAGATCAAATGGTTTTAAAGATATGTTTGTAATTTATTATTATAGCTATCGTAAATGTTATCAGCTGGTAAATACATTGTTTAATATTGACCTGGAAAGATGTTTTGTACTTTGATTATTAGTAAGGTAAAAAAGTCTTTCTGGGTCGATGTTTGAAAAGCTTATTATGGTGTTTGTAGATAATTTGCCAAATGTTTTCTCGTTTACGGCACACGCATTTTTTTTATTTGGTGACCATACGCCGCTTTACATGGAAGGGCACTACTGTGTCACATTGAAGGTCCGATGATAACCGTCGTATGAACACATCTGCGAATGTTTCTAAATTCAAAATTTCCCCATTTTTGTTTTTAAATGTTGAATTCTGCTTAAGCCGGTGCCGGGGGTGTAGACGGTAATTTGCACTTCCAGTACCGTAAATGAACAGGCTAAATCAAACCGAGTCTGCCTGCAACATTTTCAATATTGCCGTGTTGGGCTTTCATTAGGGATTCTGTTTTTCTCTATTTTGTATAGATAATATAGAGCTATTACATATGCCACTTTTTAACAATCACATCTTTTTAGCAAGAAATAGATATATTTATTTTCAAATATTGTATAATAAAGAAATCAGAATTGTGAAAGATTTTATAAATGAAAGGGTAAAATTTGTAGATTTAATATATTTAGAACAGGTCACAGGCAAACCTGTGAAGTTTTTACAATATCATACTTTAAAACAGGCAATAAAAGTATACATGTAAAAGCTTTTTTTATCAGTAACAATTTGCTGAATGTTCAATATCCTATCAAAACTGTTATATTTAACCTATTTTAACTATGAATAACAATAAGAAATATGCTTATGAAATTATAGCTAAAAATGCAGACATAATTAAAGGTCAAGAAATTATAAAGTATTGGTTTAAAAGAAATGATATTCGCGTGGGATATCTATTGAAATACAAATTTGACAGATGATGAAAGTAATAGATAGGCAATTATAAGATCCTTAATTGTTTTAATTACACTAAATATGTGAAACAGAATTTTACTTAGTAACAGATTAATTAATTGTTTAAAAATAAGTAGTATTTTTTTAATTTTTGAAAAATAGATGTATGTTTATTGTATGTATGCTTATATTTATGTACATGTTTACATGGTTTATACTGCTTGATTGTTTGTTTGTTTGCTACTATTTACATTGATATAATTATCATGTAATATTATACATTGTATATTAATAATGTAAGGAATGATGGAGGAAATCCCCGACCTCCTCATACCTTTATTACGGGGTAAATATACGGGGCTACCCAAATGGGGCCTCAAAAAATCGTAACAAACAAGTTGTTGTCAGACACAAGGAAGTTTGAAAAATAATTTGTAATATTATCACACTCAAAATCTAAAGTGTATAAACTCGGGGATAGTGTTACGGCTTTTACCACAATGGCTTTGAAAAAGATATACAGATTAAATAATTATGCAATATCTTTCCAACTACAGATGAGATGAACATTCTCGATCAAATATATAATATGTTGAACTTATAAGATTAAATAAAAAATATAAAATGGAATTAAATGATATTGAAATGGACACAAGTAGATCAAATGATGAGATTTCATATGAGAACTTAAAGATTTCGTCCGCAAGTGGTTCTGCTAATGAAACACAGCCAAAGGAAATTGAAGAAGAACCTTATGAGACCTTGAAATAGGGTGATTCTGATAACATTAAAGTTGAAAGTGGAGATGACGACACTGTAAAGCGACTGAAATATGTGATTTATGTATTGATAGTGTTGATAAGTGTTCTTTACATCACTCTTATCACGTTGGTCATTGTACTGTTCGTTCCGAAGACACCAGGTACTTTTTATTGAGTTTTATATTTGTAAAAATGTCACAAATATACAAAGTTTAAAAATCTTATGATGGTTTCGTTAAAAAAATCAATAATTTTTAAGTCATGCTTATTTAAGTTTTTTATCTTTTTATTATTAATAAAAAATCTAGTCGACAGTCGTTGGGCACAATGGTCAAGCTGGACTTCGTGTGACGTAACGTGTGGTAACGGAACACATCTGCGAACAAGAGCGTGTACGACTCCAATGCCAGTGATAAAGGGAAGTGACTGTATTGGAGAAAATTTGCAGAGCAGTGAATGCTCAAAAGACAACTGCCCAGGTTTTAACTTAAAATTATTTATATAATAATCATATTATTTTAAATTCACTTTGCTAGGGTTGTTAAGAAATGCTTCTATTACTGTACTGTATTTAGGAAATAATATATCCCAAACAGTGGTTTTTCGACAAGAACATCACTGTTGATAGTTTGGATGCGAGAAATTATATCAGGCGGGCATTACCAGTACTTCAATCTTCAAAGTGCTGCGCATATGAATGACAGTGGTGTTATCAAGCAATAAAATCACCGATTTTTTATATAATTATATTATTTCCATTCTAACACGACATCAACAAATAAATGCTTCCGTACATGATATTTTAAGCTAAATTTGGCCTGATTTATTTCGGTACTTATTTTGAGCGCGTCGCATTTTAGTGGATACGTCATATATATAGTGATTACGCATAACGTTAACACTTTCGGTTCTTTTATATTCAATAGGGAAAAATGCAGGTCGTGTACGAATTAACCATTACACGTACAAAGTCTGTATTTCAACTTGCTTTGTGTTTTTTCATTTCTTTCAATGTTTTCTTTCAACATTACGAATTGTACTTCTTATTTTGAAATTTATCGTGTATCTATGAAACTCACTGATTTTTTTCTACATAATATTTTTTGTTTTCCTATTAGTAAAATTTACCTGTTTATTTTGGGTGGAAAAGAGTTTGAATCTCTCTAGTAAAAGTTCAAAATAATAAGGTTGTTTTCATGAACTATTTCGAGTTTTAAATTCCCAAAATTTAATGCACTCCATATAACACTTAGTCGATGGTCAATGGACACCCTGGTCAACCTGGACGTCTTGTGATGTCACTTGTGGACAAGGAACTCATCTACGTTCGAGGACATGCACAAATCCAGTTCCAGCGTATAATGGACTCGATTGTACAGGAGATAATTTACAAAGTGCTGAATGCTCAAAAAAGAGCTGTCAAGGTAATTGCCTTATAAAATTCATAAATATTAAAATTCAAATCTGGATGTGTTTGGAGTCTAAGTGCAAAACATATACCATTCCATTTTTTACATAAATATATATTTATATGCATGCAAAAACGACCCCAACCTAGACTCATTTATTTAAGGGAATATTTTGTGAGTTATCGTATTTGGATCTGATACGCTTAAGATTTTAATGGTACTATATATCTTTAAATAAATAAACAAGTACTGCTAGGTGGCTTAGCGGTAAGAATGACAAAATAATGACCAAGTAGATGTTTTCAACAAAACGTTTTTTGTAGTGAGAAAGGATTACATGTAAAATATCGTTAGAATTTCAATTACTTACATACATGTCTTGACAAGCATTCAAAAAGGCGTTTAAATTGTTCATGTTCATTGACAGTGCCTCGTTACATAAACAATGGTATTCGTTTAGTGAATGATATGACGTTATTGTATAACGAAGATACTTTTTAAGTACAAATGTTGTAACTAAAGCAAACAATTTCATGATGAATCAAATTGAACTCGATTATTTATAAGATTGCAAGCATTTATATCAAAAAGGGCTCGATGACGGGAGCAAGAAACTCATGGTTCTGTAACTTTGAGATTTAGATAAGATTATTATGAGGTAGTTATAACAGGGAAATTCATTATGATATCATAATATATCCTGTCTTCCATGGGAGTTCAAGATTTACAGTTTTGAAGGACCTTATTCATTTCAAGTAAAATCTTTGTTATATGTTACATTCTCAAATTCTGGCTCCACTTCTACCTCAGTTATTGCACGGTGTCTGCCCTCATAATTTCTTGTGTATAGCCATGGTCAGTGCTTGCGTTTACGTATTGTTTAACCTGTGCGTTTTTCTCATGTATCTGTTGATATTTCATTATCAAATTGGAAAGCTGGCAAAGATAACTGTTATTATCCTTCATTTTTCTTACAATTCCAACAATTCCCTAGAGTTTGTTTCATACGTGATTTAACAGCAGAATTGTTCACACGATTGATGTTTAGCTTGCTAAATAGTTTGTTTTATTCTGCCGTAGATCAAGCATTTTTGTCTTAGTTCATTTTTCATAGATGTTCTTTCAGCTTTATAATTATTTCAGTTTGTTCTTTAATTCAAAAGCTTGTGTACATTTATGATTCCACCATAATTTAGAGATTTTGTATTTCATAGTTTAGAGTTAGATTTAGGTATTGTGTGCCCCAAAATTGAATTTAGTTAGTCTTAGAATGATTGAAATATATAGAATCATCTTCTATTTCACATTCTAATTCTTTTCGGCATAAATGCCTAAAGTTAGAGAGCACTCTGTCCTTGACTCCATTTGCCGTGATTGATATACTTATATATAAAAATTCTTATTAATACCATTTTATTGTATAATGATGGGCAACTTTTATTTTGATAGGAAACATACAGTTTACATTTTAATGATAGACCCTTCATGATCTCTTATGCTGTAAAATGTTGGGATAATGAAAATTAATTGATGAATTGAAAATTATATTGAAATGCAATCAATGTCAATTTTGTCGGAGCTGTATATACATTTTATTCTCATAACTTTTTAATTAATATATAAAACTCTAGTCAATGGACGTTGGGCTCAATGGTCAAGTTGGACATCGTGTGACGTAACATGCGGGAATGGAAAATATCTTCGTGTAAGAACATGTACAAATCCAGTGCCTGTGAATAAGGGGAGTGATTGTATTGGAGAAAGTTTGCAAAGCAGTGAATGCTCAAAAGACAACTGTCCAGGTCTTTAATTTATTATTATTTAATAAAGAAAAATGTGCATGTCGACAGAACATAGAAATTTTTTCTGAAGAAATATTAAAAGTAATTCTACTTATGTTTCAGCGATTTATAGTGTTTATTGTTTTGGCCAAGACATATATTCATTTCAAACGTTTCAAATCAGCATGTCAAGCTAAATACAATCTTGCAGAAAATTTGCAATGCTTGATTAAATAATATGTTTTGCTCTTTTGCACAATAAAACGGATGAAGCTAATGCAGTTTCAGCAGAGTTGTTTTCCTACAGTTATTGAGGCAATACATATCCATATCAAGTTGTTTTGTTTTACTATATGGTACATCTTAATTCAATCATGTCGTGTAATTTTGAATGCTATCAGATCTTGTAACTAACTACTTAATTTTGTATAGACTCGGCTTATAAGCTTAAGACTTCATAGTGATAGTGGAAATTTCATTAACATACATGTATTTTGAAATTCAAGTAGAGATAAACTTATTACATTGTTAACATTGACATAGAATGTTTTCAGTCAATGGTCAATGGGCACACTGGTCAAACTGGACTTCATGTGACGTCACATGTGGAAAAGGAACTCGTCAACGTTCAAGAACATGTACAAATCCATATCCAGCTAATAGTGGACGCGATTGTACAGGAGCGATAATAGAAACTGATGAATGTTCCAAAGATTCCTGTCCAGGTCGTTGCATAGTACAAAATAGAAAATAAAAAGGAATCAGTAGTATAATTTCGAATGTAACCTTCGAACTTTACCAAAACTATTATTTAAATCTTCTAAGATTATTTTGATTAAATTTTTATGTAATATATGTCTATTAGAAAGGGCTTATTAGTATTCTTTATAAAATTGAGATAATGTTATAATAACGGCGCCAAATTCGATATTCTTGACTTGCTTTGATAATGTCTTATATTCGACTTTTGTTGACAAAGAAGTATGTCGACATATATTAAGTGGATGAAATGGTAATGACAGCTTATAACTTTTACACCGTTATTTGCCAATTGCTCATACGCGTGCATTTACTCTTGCAAAGACACGTATGACCTTAACATTGCAAAGTTTATATGCCGAAGCCAATATCGTCTAAAGGCCTCAACAGAAGGTAGGATTTTGAAGTACAACACCAATTAAGACCAATCTTAATGTGTGAAGGTTTCTATTTCTTGAATTCGGAAACCTTAAGTCTAAATGATTGTTACGGATAGGACATGTTCTATTTTGAAAATCTTGTCGTACAGATTTCTACAGACCTCCCACAATGACAAGTAACAGATTACCAAATAATCTCCTGATGATGGTGTAATGAATGAAATTTCAGAACACTTAGGGCTAAAAGGTAACCATAGTAGTAAGATGGGGTAAGAATGATGTTGAAAAACTCTTCAGGAGACCCAAAGTTGTATTATGTTCGAATCCTTAATTGTTCCGAAAGTAATTATGTCACGATATTGAACTGTTCTATAATCAGGGGAGGTACGTGGCTGGAGAGCTCAGTCAGTAGTACCGCGGTACTGTATTTCGAGGGTCCCAGGTTTGAGTCTCGGTCAGGCTGCACATTAAAAAAAAACATTTTTTTTTAAAAATGGAGGTGTCTCAATCATTACTCATGGAGGAAAAATAATTATTTAGTGAGTAAAGTATGTAAGGGATCAATTTGGAGGGAGACTTTTAGGGAAACCTAAGATGATTCCTACAATGCAGAATTACCATCGGAATGCAAGTGTTGTATTGCTTTGAAAATTGTACATCTTATCTGTAATTAGTGTTGTACGACTAAATCCTACCGTTGAGGCTTTAACAAGAGTTATTTGGGAAATACCTTAACGGGGGCTATACGATATTGTTCAAGGAAACCATTTATAACATGTATTTCCAACGTGAGTGTTTTCCTACAATTTATTCATTCAATGTACACCCATATTTTGCCATTCCATCATTACTTCCTTTATTGTTATACTTTCAATTCTTGAAGACCCCTCAATTTTAGCATACTTGTAAACCTCTATGTTAAGCAATGTTTGTATTCATTACAAAAAAATATTATAAAAATTATATGTTCTTTTTAAATCCATGATGAAATTAAACCCGGCTTTTGTGACATTGAATAAAAAAATTTGTTTCATTAAGGCAAATGATGAAAAGTAGCTATTAACCTCCGTCGATAAAATATGAAAAGGGAAATTGCGTTTTCCGTCCGAACTGACCCTCGGAACCATATATCAAAACTGCTTTGTCAAAGTTTTAATAACGAAGAAAATTGTAATAAAAGTAATCAATATGGAAATGAGGCTGATCAATAGTATCTCGTTACTTGGTTTGAGAAAAACATGTCCACTGTCAGTCTCTTTATACCACTAGTATGTTAGATGTACATGAAACCCAACAAATATGAATAAAATTAAATGAAATAATGATTATCAAATACCATCAGAATAAAATTGTGTATTTCATTATTGCAAATGTGCATTTTGCATGGACCATTCTCATTATTAGTGTGTTAGATTTTAATAGATCTGCCTTTGCAATCATGTTTTATTCAATAACGCCGCGATTCATATAAATTTTCGTTATTATAAGTTTATTATAAGTTTATTTATGTTTAACTAACTGTTTGAATTAAATTAACACAGGAACCAAACAGTTTACATACATCTTAATTGTATTTTTCAGAAAATTGAATTAATTAAATAAAGTTCAGAATAAGTATGACGCAAAACTTGTTAAGAGTATGAATTTGCATCAAATATTTCATTATTTCAAGTCGATGGTCAATGGGCATATTGGTCAGGATGGACATCATGTGATGTTACATGTGGAATCGGAAGGCAACTTCAGACAAGGAGATGCACGAATCCAATGCCCGAAAATAAAGGGAAGGACTGTTTTGGAGAGAGTTTACAGAGTCGTCAATGCTCTAAAGGAAACTGCCAAAGTAAGTTATTATATATTACATACTGAACAGTGTAAATTAGTTGGGACTTTTAACCTATTAAAAACCGATTTCCAATCAATAGCTTTTAAGTTTTTCACAGTTTTGTAGACATTCATACATTTGATTTCAAGTTGTGTTTGGTGTATTTTTTAAGTTTCATGTTTACTGACAAAATCTTTTGTTCATAAGTAATTTTAAATGTAATCTTTTTTCCTCTTATATCAATGTGCACCTTTTTATATGTAGCCTGTATGACCATCTCTTGTTATATTATGTTTCATTACATTAGTAAAGTATCACTTTAATAGTCTTTTTATACTTTATGTATTATATTCAAAATAAGTTTGTTCAACAAGTCAATGCTGCCAACACTGTATGTGTATTATATATTTCAGCATTCAAGTCTGCATTTTCTGCGACCAGACCAAGTTCATACAGCTCGATAAACGGAATCAATAAACTAACCTTTTCAGGTACCATTTACCAGTATGGTAATGATTTTAGTATCTCAACTGGAACTTTCACATGTAGATTACCTGGTGTGTACCACTTGTCTGTCACATTAGTAAAGAAAAGGGCATCATCAAGAGTGGATCAAGTTTATTGTTCACTATTCAAAAATAGACAGTCTCTGATAAAGATAAAGGTTGATCCAACTGACGACGCTACGGACAATGGACATTCTTCTATATCCCAGTCTGTTGTAATTTACCTAACCGTTGGCGACACGGTGTATCTCGGTAGCTGCATAGGCCAGCCTAGCAAATACATGGAAGACTGGTCTACCTTTACAGGATTTCTACTATATCCTAACAACTAAGTTAAACTATGAAAGTTTCATGAACATTGCTATGTACTTAATGAACAATGTTTGAAGTTCGTTGTTGATGTACATTATTGCATCAAAACTAAATTTAAATAAGGTTAACAAGCATGTCTTTAAGAAGACAAAAAATAAGGTATACAAGTTTGCAAAAATGTATATTATTTATATGTTGTGTACCATGTTTGCATTACATTTATTTTGTGTCTCTTTTTATTTTAGTTGTATGCTAGTATGAACATTTTCTAATCATTGATTACTGAATTAACGCTTTGTTTTTTCAATACAATGATATCAGAGCGCAGAGAGGAGAAAGGAAAAAGCGTGGTTTTGTTAAGTATTTTCACCATCAAATATTTACAAGTTATTATCTTTCTTTACAAACATGTGAGTAATCATTATTTAATGCATGTGCATATTTTATTGCATTAAACACTTATAGTAATTTTTATATAATGTTTCTTTTACGAGCCAGATCTGGCGTCTATGAACGTACGCGTCGGTTTAATACGTTTACGTCATTTCCTTTGTGTTTTTTAACCAGATCAACTGAGGAAGAGTCTTGTTTGAGTGAAACATGTTTTAATAAATTGTGTTGTTTTTTTTATCTTTTTATACTAATCTTAAATGTATAATAAACGAGCCTATAACAGTATCAATTAAAAAAGTACAAGTACATATTGTTACTGACATCATTGTTTATTGGAGGGGTACTAAGATAAAAGCCGATTTTTATGTTTATTTTATACTACAATACTTTTTTTTGTTTTGATGTACGTTAAATATATTAATAGAAATTGATTCGGATTTCAGATTTGTTTCATTTCGGTATAAATTGTCTTTTCAATAAACATATTCCTAAACTCGACTTTCAATTTTCTTTCAATATGCCTAAGGCAAAATGACGAAATACTACGGTGTCCTTATCGTGCCATTTAGAATGTCGTCCGTCGCGTCTAAGGGTAGACACACGACAATGCGAAGTGACATCGCGACAATGCGAAGCGACGCTCGACAACGCGAAGCGATATGCGACAATGCGAAGCGACGCTCGACAGTGTCAAACGATATGTCGCACTGTCGCCTAGAAATGTCGCGGTAAAAAAGGGCGACATTTAAGAAATGTCGCTTCGCGTTGTCGAGTGTCGCTTCGCATTGTCGAGCGTCGCTTCGCGCGTTGTCGCGATGTCACTTCGCGTTGTCGCGATGTCACTTCGCGTTGTCGCATTGTCACTTCGCATTGTCGAGTGTCGAGGTTGGTAGAAGTGCATACCACGACACTCGACAATGCGAAACGACAACGCGACAATGCGATACGACGCTCGACAATGCGAAGTGACACTCGACATCGCGAAGCGACATTTTTAAAATGTCGAGTAAATGTCGCGTTATTTTTATGATTTTTACACCGCGACGCTCAACATTGCGAAGCGACACTCGACAATGCGAAGCGACACTCGACAACGCGAAGCGATACTCGACAACGCGAAGCGACACTCGACAATGCGAAGCGACATTTGGAATAATATCGTATCGCATTGTCGTGCGTCTACCGGTGCTTGGTCAGAATTTACTAACTCACCGACAAACGGTGCGATCATGGAAGGGGTCGCACTAAACTGCTGACGAATTAGCTGACGATATAGAATATATAGGAAACTGCTGACCAGTTAAACAAAGAAGGATTATCGAAAACTGCTGACCAGTTAGATAAAGAAGGGAAAACAATGAAGGTGTCAAATTGCCGTTGGTGATATTACAGGCGAGGTCGAGAAATACTTGATAAAATGTTTTTTCAAGATGTCAATATTACAAATGATACATATTAATTATAAAAAATTCAATTGATATATACTGTATATTTCTCAATTTATTTTGATATAATATTTTATTTAAGTACCTTAATGAATTTTCTTCTATGTGTTATATATTGGTTAAAATTTTAAAAATGTAGTCAAAATATGATGTACGAAAAATCATAATTTGTTTCAAGTATGTATAAAACTATGCATCATAGGTTAAAATATATACATGTACATATACGTAATGTATATTTTAACAAAATATAATTATTATGTCGTATTTAGTGCAAATATGAAATAAAGTGATTTCTGTTTCCTTATTTGTTGTTCGTATAATTGTATAAGTAATATTGAACAAAAATTAATAATGTGCTAATTGTTATAGTTAATAAGCTTTTATTACATTATAAACAACATGTTTCCACAGATATCCATTAAACTGATAATTTATCGAGATCGATATGCCCCAAGGTCATATTAAAATCGATTTCACACGCGACGTGTCATTCTTGATTTATCTATGACAAAATACAATAAACAGTCAAAAATATGTTATTAAAATGCTGACCATATTGTAGAATCTGCTGAAAAGTTAGCTATATAGAGAAAAATATATTTGGCCGTGGAATTGTTACTCGTTTTATAATGTAATCAAATTCAATATATTTTATAAAATTATGTCGACATTTAATTAAGTAAAAACACTGCTGACCAATTTAATATTATTTCAAATTGATTTAAGCCGTAAAAGTCTTCTTATTCTATATGGTCAGCAAATTTAACGCTCTTTACATTCAGGCGAGAAAATGCTGACCAGTTAAACATATAGTAGAATCTGCTGACCAGTTAGATATATAGGGAAACTGCTGACCAGTTAGAAATATAGAAAAATATATATTTTGCCGTGAAATTGTTACTCATTTTATAATGTATGCAAATTTTATATATTATATAAAATCATGTCGACATTTAATTAAGTAAAAACACTGCTGACCAATTTAATGTTAATTCAAATTGATTTAAGCCGTAAAACTCTTCTTATTCTATATGGTCAGCAAATTTAACGCTCTTTCACATTCAGGCGAGAAAATGCTGACCAGTTAAACATATAGTAGAATCTGCTGACCAGTTAGATATATAGGGAAACTGCTGACCAGTTAGATATATAGAGAAAAATATATATTGCCGTGAAATTGTTACTCATTTTATAATGTATGCAAATTCAATATACTTTATAAAATTATGTCGACATTTAATTAAGTAAAAACACTGCTGACCAATTTAATATTATTTCAAATTGATTTAAGCCGTAAAAGTCTTCTTATTCTATATGGTCAGCAAATTTAACGCTCTTTACATTCAGGCGAGAAAATGCTGACCAGTTAAACATATAGTAGAATCTGCTGACCAGTTAGATATATAGGGAAACTGCTGACCAGTTAGATATATAGAGAAAAATATATGCACGTGATCTTAAAGTATGAAGACATGGGTTTTACAGTCAGTAATTTTTGTGGAATAAAATGCAAATTAAAAGTTGTATGGACTAAATTTTTGATGGATTAGTAAGATATTGTGTTTTTTCACATGCCGCCGAAAGGAAAGCAACAAAATAAAAAGGAAAATAGAAAAAATAAACGTAAAGAGATTTCGCCTTTGTTAGAACAGACATGTACACATAACACAGAGCGTGTACACAATGGACAAACCGGTTTTGCCAGTTTACCTACCAGTTTACCTGTGTTAACTAACAGAGATAGTGATGACGTAAACAATCAAAACAAACGAAAGAAACAACGTAGTGACATATTTGTATACGATACACCAACAGTAAGTAAAATAAATAGTGAAATGAGTACTAATGGAACTTTTCAACAATCATTTACTGGCCAATTATTGCAGTCACCTCCGTATCAGTATAATCAACAATATCTTGGTCCACTACCGCCAGGTACACCAATGATGAATCAAGGTACAAACCAAACTCCACCATGGGCTATAGCTATGATGGAAACTATGAACTCCCGTCTTGATAAGATCGACTCCCGACTTGATAAAATTGACAATATTGAAAAAGTAGTAAACTCAATGTGCTTGAAACTCAATGATCTAGATATTAAGGTAAAAAGTATAGAGTCGCGAGTTTGCGATGTAGAAAACAACAGTACATTTATCAGTGAAAAGTATGATAAGCAAACAACAGAATTAGCGTCAACTAAAGATAGTGTAAAGACCATGCAAAAATCATGTGACACGTTAAATTCTACAATCAAAACATTAAGTAAAACCCAGGAAGAACTTAGAACACGCATCTTGGACAACGAATTTAGAAATATGAAGGACAATCTAATATTTTATGGCTTACCGGAAGTACATACCACATCACCGGAAGCATCCATGTTATTAACAAGTTCCTCTACAAGTAACACTGACCAAAATATTAATGTTTCGCCACAAACATATGATACAGCAACAGACCCTAATTCATGTGCCTCTATTGTAAAAGAATTTATTAAAAATACATTAAAAATCAGTACTGAGATAGAGTTTGATAGAGCCCATCGCCTTGGTACACTAACCAAACCCGAAAATCCAAGACCGATTGTTGTGAAATTTCACAAGTATAGTCACAGAGAAATAGTAAGGAATACAGCTTTCCATATGAAGGATGTCCTTAAGCAACATAGATATGGTGTTGGAGTACAAATACCCAAAGAGTGGCGAGATGCGAGGAAAGAACTTAGTACAGTCTACCAGAGTGAAAAAAAGAAAGGAAAATATGTCCGATTCGTTGGGGAGAAATTATACGTGAATAACACGGAGTACACAGGTGGTTCCAGTCATAGCGCTTCTTAGAGGTGTCAAGAAGAGCAATTGCACATTTTATCTTGGAATATAAATGGACTGGTTCGAAAACTTTGTGATCCTGACTTTATAGAAATAATAAAGGAAAATGACATTATTTTATTAACAGAAACGTGGCTGTCAAAAAACTCCCATTATAATTTAAATATCGATGGCTATTGTACGGAACACTTATATGGAAACAAATCTATAAATTCTAGAAAAGGAAGACACTCTGGTGGGATTTCTATTTATTATAAATGTAGTTTGAAAGACAAAATTAGTATTATTAGCAAAAATCAAAGTGGTATATGCTGGTTAAAAATTTGTAAATCTATTATTACTTGTGATACAGTCGTTTATCTTTGTTGCACATATATCCCTCCACGTGACTCACACGTATTGAACAGATTTGATATTGATATGTTTAATCAATTAGAAATAGATATAGAAAAGTATAAAATGTTAGGAAAAGTCCTTGTTACAGGTGACATGAATAGTCGCACGGCATTGGCATTAGATTTTATTGAATTTGATCGTTATTTAGATAGTAATGTATTATTATTAGCGAATGATTACAATTGTACAAGGGTAAACAAAGACCACGTGCTTGACGCACATGGGACACGTTTAATTGATTTTTGTAAGGCGACAAATCTATTAATAGCAAACGGTCGTTTACACCTTGATAAATCTATAGGTGAATACACATTTATTGGTCATAATGGAATGAGCGTAGTTGATTATCTCTTATTAAGTAATGAAGATTTTCAATATATTAAAGAATTTGAAATATGTAAACCAAATGATTTATCTGATCACAATGCTCTTCATTTTTGTATTGAGAGAATACGCCCACAACAAAATCCACGTGACCCAAGTTCAACCCATGAACTATTTTTAGCGTGGGATGACTCAAAAGTTGATATATTCCGAAATTATTTATCAGTCGATATAGAACGGCTTACACAGATAAGCAATAATTTAAATAATGTTTCTGTAAATGAAACAATAAAATCTTTTACGACATACATGCAAGATAATGCATTTAAAGTATTTGGCAAATGCAAAAATACTAATCGAGAAACAAATTTAAAAACTAAGAAAAAATGGTTTGATAAAGAATGCTATGAGGCCAGAAAAGCATTAAATAGAGCAAGAAATGTATTTTTGAGAAATAGAACGAACGAGAATAAAAGCATTTTCATAAATAAAAGAAAGGTATATAAGAATATAAAACTTAGATGTAAACGTTTATTCAAAAAGACAGAGGGGAAACGAGTGTCAAAATTAGCAAAATGTAACCCAAAGTCTTTTTGGAGAAATGTGAGAACACAATACAGGCAACCTACTATAGAAAATAGAAACATAAGTATTGATGATATGTATATACATTTTAATAGTTTGTACGGTTCTACACCACTGTATGATCATGAAAATAATGATGTACATAATGATTACATATATGATAATGATTTAGATGTTGAATTTACATCGATGGAGATAAAAAATGCAATATTTTCGCAAAACAATTCCAAATGCCCAGGTACTGACCATCTGATTGCAGAAGTATTTAAAAATTCAATTGATATAATTTGTCCATTTCTCACACGCTTTTATAATAAAATATTTAATGATGGCGTATTTCCTGAATGCTGGGGAGAAGGTATTATAGTACCAATTTTTAAAGGTGGAGCTCATGAAGCAAAAAACTTTCGCGGAATTACCTTAAATAATATTTTGTCCAAAATATACTCAAAATTATTAGTTGATAGACTTATTAAATGGGCTGATAAACATGAAAAATTTATTGATAATCAATATGGTTTTCAAAGGAATAAGTCAACTATTGACTGTATTTTTGTTCTACATGCTATAATAACAAAGACTTTGTCGAGTAAGAAGAAACTCTATGTAGCATTTCTAGATTGGGAGAAAATGTTTGACCGTATTGATAGGGTTTTATTATGGAGAAAGTTACTGAATGAAAATATAAATACAAAATTTGTTACTGCAATCAAGTCAATGTATGGTATTGTTAAATCTTTTGTTAAATATAAAAACATGCATTCTGATCTAATTAATTCTAAGATTGGAGTAAAACAAGGAGATCCAGCAAGTAGCATATTGTGTTTATTTTTTCTCAATGATATATTAAATAATATAAATAGGAACATTCCTGGTATTGTTAACATTGATGATATACAGGTATTTCTGTTGTTATTTGCAGACGACGCTGTAGTTTTCACACATGATCCAAATTCATTACAATCTATCTTGAATGATATAGAACATTATTGCAATATGTGGAATCTGAAATTAAATGTATCTAAAACAAAAGTAATGATTTTTGAAAATGGTAGACATACATCTTATGATTTCTTTTTGTATAACACTAGAATTGAAATTGTAGAATCTTTTAAATATTTAGGTGTGTATCTTTTTAAAAATGGGAACTGGAACAGAACTCAAAAATATATTGCGCAACATGCGTCATATTCACTACACAATCTATTTATTGTATGTAACCAGTTGGAACTTCCAGTTTCCCAAATGATAAGTTTATTTGATAGTATTGTTTTACCAACATTAAATTATGCTGCAGAAGTGTGGGGGCATCATGCTGGTCCGAACATAGAAATTATACATACAAAGTTTTGTAGAAGATTGTTATGTGTGAAACAATCAACCAATGTAGATGTGTTATATGGTGAACTTGGTCGTACACCAATGTCCATTCATAGAAAACTAATATTGATCAAATACTGGTTAAAACTTCTTAAACTTAATGAAAGAACTATATTGTATAAAATTTTTATTATGTTAAAAACAGATGCCGACAATGGTGTAACTTATAGTGGTAAAAACTGGGCATATACTGTTAAGACTATTTTAGAGCAGACTGGCTTGTTTTATATGTGGGAAAATCAGTTTACTATACATATAGATTTTAGTATTATTAAACAACGAATTTTAGACATATTCTATCAAAGTTGGTATTCCTCAATTAATAACTCGTCTAGATTAGATACATATTGTTTATTTAAACATTCATTCGAATTTGAAAACTATTTGGATTTTATCGTTGAACCGAAATTTAGGGTAGCTTTATCCAAATTTCGTTCATCTTCTCATAGTTTGGCTATTGAACGTGGACGGCATAGAAATATACCAAGAAATGAAAGATTGTGTAGTAATTGTAATGCCGGTCTTATAGAAAATGAGTATCATTTTGTATTAATATGTTCTAAATTCCAGGACTTAAGATCAAAATATATAAAGAGATATTATTATACGTGGCCTACTAAACAGAAATTTGTTAATCTCATATGTGCAAAATCAAAAGCAATAATTAATAATTTAGCAAAATATATATACTATGCAAACTTGCGAAATAACTAGTCATCTTTAATGCAGATACATATATATATTATATTATTGTGCTCTTCTGTAAACCATGTCTTTGTATAAAAAATTGTATTGCTATGGAACATGTTGTTTTAATGCAATAAAATATTTGTAGTTGTAGTTGTAGTTAGATATATAGGGAAACTGCTGACCAGTTAGATATATAGAGAAAAATATATTTTGCCGTGAAATTGTTACTCATTTTATAATGTATGCAAATTTTATATATTATATAAAATTATGTCGACAATTTATTAAGTAAAAACACTGCTGACCAATTTAATGTTAATTCAAATTGATTTAAGCCGTAAAACTCTTCTTATTCTATATGGTCAGCAAATTTAACGCTCTTTACATTCAGGCGAGAAAATGCTGACCAGTTAAACATACAGTAGAAATCTGCTGACCAGTTAGATATATAGGGAAACTGCTGACCAGTTAGATATATAGAGAAAAATATATTTTGTCGTGAAATTTTAATTCATTTTATAATGTACGAAATTCAATATATTGTATAAAATTTTGTCGACATTTAATTAAGTAAAAACACTGCTGACCAATTTAATGTTAATTCAAATTGATTTAAGCCGTAAAACTCTCTTATTCTATATGGTCAGCAAATTTAACGCTCTTTACATTCAGGCGAGAAAATGCTGACCAGTTAAACATATATAGTAGAATCTGCTGACCAGTTAGATATATAGGGAAACTGCTGACCAGTTAGATATATAGAGAAAAATATATTTTGCCGTGAAATTGTAATTCATTTTTATTATGTATGCAAATTCAATTTATTTTATAAAATTATGTCGACATTTAATTAAGTAAAAACACTGCTGACCAATTTAATGTTATTTAAAATTGATTTAAGCCGTAAAACTCTTCTTATTCTATATGGTTAGCAAATTTAACGCTCTTTACATTCAGGCGAGAAAATGCTGACCAGTTAAACATATACACATGTAGTAGAATCTGCTGACCAGTTAGATATATAGGGAAACTGCTGACCAGTTAGAAATATAGAAAAAAATATATTTTGTCGTGAAATTTTAATTCATTTTATAATGTACGAAATTCAATATATTGTATAAAATTTTGTCGACATTTAATTAAGTTAAAACACTGCTGACTTATTTAATATCAATTCAAATTGCAATTATTGCTTTTGAAAATACATTTTTTTTCCGTTACAAGATTTTTCTATTGAAATATCACTAACAAGAGATTTTGATAAAACTCATAACATCATAATTCTTTATAAAACATTAATTCAAATTTTTGCATATCTTTAGAGGTATAAAAAGCTGTTTAATATATCCTTTTAAAATCACGGATTTATATTACATGTAGTAATGTAAATCCGTGTTAAAATGTATGATATTATGGTACTTTAAATGTATATATTAATTTAGTTTATAAACATAGTCATATAAATGCAAAAATTAAAAATATAATTAAAAGAATAAAAGTAATTTCCCATCTTTTTATTACCCCCTACGGCGTGTTTATATAACTTCACACTCTCAATGTTTCCCTTCTTTGTGTAACTGGTCAGC